GAGAGAGAGAGAGAGAGAGAGAGAGAGAGAGAGAGAGAGAGAGAGAGAGAGAGAGAGAGAGAGAGAGAGAGAGAGAGAAGACTGGCATATCTTCCGCCAAATGTCGAGAAGATCCGTTGGCCTTTTTTTGGGGGGTGGTAATTGGCCAAATACCCCCATAAGTTGGGATATATGTCAAAACGTCCCTGAAAATTGGGCACTTTTTTTGCAATTGCACCCACCAAAAGTTAGCAACGACCGGGGCATTTTGCAAAGTTGGACGATGTCTGGTAGGGTACATTGCAAAGATGGGGTCCAACCGATGTCTGGGGTGTTTTGCAAAATGTTTTTGCTGTAGATCCACTTGGATTCCTTAAATACAGGAACGCGACAAGGACCAACCTCTCGAACCTAACTCCCTGGCCCCATTCCCAGTCCATTTTTTTTCGTTTTTGCCCAGCCCAGTCCTGTGTTATGTGACTGATTGAAACGACATCCGTAAGCATCAACATGTTCCCATGACAAAGCAGACTCGAGAGGACTTCACACCAAACTGGACGAAAGATGCAACAGCAGAAGCTCAGAATTCAAGAAGAATTGAATTAAAAATAATAAAAATAATAAAATATCCATTCAAAGTCCCCCGCCTCTCTCCTGTTCAATCAGCTGCGCAAATACTCCAAGAATCCCAACCGAGAACAAACAACCTCGAAAACCTCAGAACACGGCTTCAGCAGGCTAGAACGACTTAAGAGTATGGATTTGTAAGACGCACTTACAAAGGTTCTTTTTTTTTTCTTTTTTTTTTTTAAACAACACCCCTACCAGTGTTAGTGGTGCTGATAAGAGCAGACACCACTAGCACCTGGGGAGAGGAGGTTACATCCTTCCTGTGCCGATAAGAATCATGATCTCTATGGACCGCACACATATACTTGCATTTTACAATGCAAAAACCCATGGCATTTTCAACTACTACTACTTCGCAGCTCCCCTGGTGGACCTGAGCCGTATTATGCACTTAATTGTGGTCTTCATGTGGTCTTACACGATCAACTAAATACAAACTTAGGTCTTCGAGAAAAATGGAGTCTTCCTCCTCCCTCCAACTTCGTCCGCGCTACTCTCAGATGCAGCGCCCAACCTGCCGACCTCCGGCGGTGCGCCCCCCCCCCCACCTCCCATGCAGACCTCCGAACACCCAGCGCTCCTCAATCAGCCATGGTGCCCTCAATCAGCTATGGCGCTAAGCTGGAAACTGCAGCGCCCAGCCACAACAGCTATAGATGGCCCAGCACTGGGTCAGAGACCCATCAGGATGGTCAGCGCCAACTCCAGGATGAAGAAGGAAGCTCCAGCTTGACGACTAAGAAGATCAGCTGTCATTTAGAAGAGGAAACGGCAGCACCTAACCCCAACAGCACAGATATGGTAGCGCCAGGCTTCAGCGCAGCAGCGAAAGCCGGGCAGCAGCCTCCCAGCCGCGGTTCCGTTCCGACAGCCTGGCGGCATAAATGCGACTTCCAAACAGCAGGTCACCAAAGTGGTCAACATACCAAAGACCCCTCACTCAACAGTAACTGAAAACAGGCCTAAAGCGACTAAGGACATTTCTGTAATTTCCCTAAACGCCTTCCTAAATACGGTGCTACTGGCCCTAAACTTCGTTTCAGGCCTAAACGGACTGCTGCTTTGTTTTGCCTCAGAGCGGTACCGCTGTTACTGGGAAAAACAAAGACCCATAACTGTCAGCTGTGTCCTAGGTCCTTCCAGACCCATAACTTTGTTTCTAGGACCTAGGACACAGCTAACAGTTACCGCTCTGAGGCAAAACAGAGCAGCAGTCTGTTTAGGCCTGAAACGAAGTTTAGGGCCAGTAGCACCGTATTTAGGAAGGCGTTTAGGGAAATTACAGAAATGTCCTTGTCGGTTTATTCCTGTTTTCAGTTACCGCTTTAGAACCGAGAACTCTGAAAAATCACCCTGTGTAATGAGCTTTAGGACCCAGAAGGGTCAGAACTCTTAACAACCCTGTGTAATGAGACGTCAAAACACAGACTGAGAACACAGCTGATTTCTGAGTTTTTCCGCTGGAATGAATGCCTTGCTGCGATTACCGCATTCTGCTGAGTTTTCTAAGTCTGTTTGCGTGCATGCTTGCTGGTCTGCGTGCCTGTCTGAGTGCTTGTCGGTCTGAGTGTGTGTTTGACCCGCAAGGGCACTCGTTTGATTGGAGGCCCCGCAGGGCCGGTACTTACCTGTGGCTGTGACTTAGAGGATTGCAGCGGGGAAAACACTCAAGTGGGGGGAATAGGCTGCGAGCAGCGGGAAAAAAACTCTAGTAGGTAGGCCGGTACCACTCAAGTAGAGGTAGACGTGTCGGGAACTGGAGGCCGAGCAGAAGAAGACAAAAGTTGGCATTCTTAGAGGCCCAGTAGTTGGTTGGCTAGGTCTAGGCGGTTACAGTCCAACTAGCCTGACTCTAGGGCCTGTGCGGACGGTATCAGAGCCTGCAATGATGCTTCCCTCCGAAAGGSAGGAGGTACCGGTTGCTTGGAGGCCGCACGCCCTGAAAGTCACCACCCAAGAGGCAGGTAGACAGCTATATCTTCGGGTAGAGCGCTGGTCTCTTCCTCATCTGCGTATGCAAGTTCGGGCGACATATTTGCTTGAGCAAGCACCAACCTTCTGGGTGCTGCTGGAAGGAAGAGCGCTGGGCAGTCCAGCGCTGGGAGGAGGAAGAAGGCCGGGAGCATCCACCTCGGCTATGGTGGAGCTCTACCGGTAGGAGGAGGGGGAAGAAAGGGACTAGGGAGGAGGGTGGCGAGGTACCTACCTGGCTAAGGTGGATGCCATCTTCATCACCTTGTTAGGCGCTGCATCTGGAACGCCCAAGTGGGGGTTGTGCCGCACCAAGAAGGCTTCGAGGCAGAGTCAAGCTGCCTCAGGCATGCCCGCCTGAACAGCAGCGGACATAGCTGCTTTGCATTGTCTTTTGCACAGCAGGGCTAGGCCCTGGTTGAAGAGGAGGCAGAAGGACATGGCTATGGTGGACCTCAGTTGATGCTAAGGAGTAGAAGTGGGATTCAGACATTGATTCTGGTTTTGCCTCTCATCATTATTATTGTTATTTATTGTTTAAACAAGAGGGGAGGAGAAAGGAGGAGGAGTTTGGTTGGCGAGAAGGAAGAAGAATTATCACTGGCCTATCGCTGGTGTACATCTTCTTCTATCGCTGGTGTACATCTTCTTCTTCTTCTTCTTCTTCTTCTCTCCCTCCTCTCCAGTTCATTCATTTCTTT